TTCATGGCAACCATGGTGGCGTCCTGGGCGGCGCGCGTGATCGCGAGCTGCTGGATGCGCCCAGGAACGATTTCGACGCGGTCGAAGAGCGGGAGCTGACGCGGCTGGATCTGCTCCAGCTCCATTGGCGAGAGCCACGGAACGAGCGTGGCGACGCCCCCCGTTGAGTTGTCGCCGTCGGTGCTAGGGGACGCTGAATAATAGAACGAGTAGGGGCGCGGCTTCGCGTCGACCCAGGTGCGGAGCAGAGCTTCGGAGCTATGCGCATCCTGGGGCGCGATCGCGCACTTGCGCTTCATGTACTGAGTGAGGGCAGAGTGCCTGCGACGGCGGCGCCTGCCCTTCTAACACATGAAAACTCGCGCGTTCCACGTGGCGATAGTGGTCGGCTCCGTGGCGGCGTCCAATCGCCAAAGGGCCCAGCGGTGGCTAAGAACGCCACGTAGCTGCTTCCGCGTCAGCGAAGAGCGCCTGGAAGGAGGTGAGGATATTGCCGCGGTCGGTGGACTGGCACTGAGGGAGGTCGAAGGCTTGCTCGTTCCACTGGAGGATGGACGGGGTCGTTCTGGCCGCGGATGATGGCGTGGAGTTGCAGTGGATCTCCCCCTCGGCGCGGGATGTCCCCACCGATGCTGGTGGTAGCGGTGCGGCATGAGTTGAAGGAGCTGCTAGGTCTGGGCGTCCGATCTGATATGCTTGGAGGACCTGTCAGGATTGACGCAGGTGTCGACTGGCTGGCCCGTGGTATCGGTAGATGTAAAACGCTTCCATTGCCCAGCCGCATTGCGCATGGCGCGCGAAAGAGCCATGGCCCGGGGCACTGCGGCAGCGTTGTCTCCTTTGACTTGTAGTGCGAAACGTCGGGCAGGCTCGCCATCTCCGAGGAGTTCCACATGGTTCAATTGCAGATTGGCTTCTGTGATCAATTCCTGGAAATCGTCGAGCGAAGCGTTTTGGCGCGATGAGGCGCTGGCAGCCCGCGGAAAAGAGTGTAGGATCAGGCTGGCGGCCCCGCTCGGCGAGGCGGTTGAGGTCGGCGATCGGTGTCTGCGCTTCAGCGAGGGCCAGGGTGTCGCGCATCTGGTCGATATGTTGCCACCTGCGCGGGTGTTCAGCAACTTGACGGTCTTGTTATCTGCGAGTGCGGGCGAATTCGTCCCGTAGCACATCGACTCGGCGCTCAGTGGCATTAACATGTCGCTGTAAGAGATGGCGGAAACTTTCGCGAGGTTCGGCAAGAAGCTGATCGGCTTGCGCTCGAAAGCGGGCGGCGGCAGTAGCAACTTGGCGCTGCATAAGCTCACGGAGAGCGACGTCCAGGTCTTCGGGTATCCCAGGAAGTGGTCCATCTCGTTCTGGTTGTGTACGATGTGATTCGTATTCAGATCCAGGGGTAGCGTGGCCAGCGACTGGGGCGGTTGGGACTGCATCGGGTTGGGATGCACATGTAGGGGCCAGTTCGATGTCACGCGCAAGTTGTGCGGCAGCAGCGGGGCCCAGCTGTTGCTCGACAGATCGAAAATTGGCCCAATGGCCGGCGGCGCCCGAAAGAGAAAGATGGTTAGCAGAACCAGGCGGTGGCTTAGTGCCCTCTTCCCACGGCGGGGGCTTCGGGAGCTGCATTTCCTCCTGGTCTGGCTGGCCTGCGGGTAGGGGTCGGTGGCGGGCGTGCGGTACTCCGTCCTGCGGCACGGGCTTGCGGCTGGCGAGCACCTGCAGGGCCTTGACTGCTGAATCATGTAGGGCCGTTGTGGCCGAAGTGTTCGCGAGCAGCGCGTCGGCAATCTCTGCGGGGTTTTGCTCGATGTTGGCGGTCATCATGACGTCGTTCGTCACGGCGAGAATATTCGCGGCGATGGTGTCGGTCCTCTCGGCGGCTGCGGGACGTCGAACCGTTGGAGAGGTTATCCCTGTCGGAAGATGCGGCAGACATGATGTTGAAGTAAAGGCAACTGGTATGAGGGTGCTGTTCGGCGATTCGCCACTGGCCAGGTCCACTACGGAACCACTGCGTGTTTGACTGAATCTTGTTGACTGACAAGGAGCGGCACACGATGGGGCCATATGGATGCACGGCACAGAGCTCGATACGAGGGTATGATGCTCGGCCCGAGGCGCGAGACGATATGGACGCTCGGCGCGTGGCTCAGAACGATGTGTAAGGCGGCCTGCAACGCCAGAACAATCAGCAGGAACGGGCGGCAGCTCGTCCCTGGGTGTGGCTGCGAAGTGGTGGGAACTGACCGCGGACTAACGGTATCCACGCTACGCTTGCGACGGCATGCCATCTTGAGCCAACATGGCTACGGAGGGAGGAGGAGGAAGAGGAGGAGGAGGAGGAGGAGGAGGAGGAGGAGGGCGAGGCGGAGGAGGAGGAGGAGGAGGAGGAGGAGGAGGAGAGGAGACAGCGACCTGGCGGGGACGACAGGGGCAGCAGGGAAAGGAAGAGGGCGGGCGGTGGAGACCCAGAGATCCGATGTGCATATCAGCTCCATAACTCTTGGGCCCCTGGCCGCATCGGATTAAAACAAGGACCGACCGTTCTGGCATTCCTATAGTCTATAGTCCTACCACGAAGTGTTCTTAGAACCCATTACTGTTCTACTAACGAAAGCAAGGTCCTTAGAACATGAATCCGATGTGATAAAGCAAGACAGACTCCGCTAGAAATGTTCTAAGAACATTTCGTGGACACCACAAACAAGGTTCTCAGAACATTGCTCGGTAGGGCTATGGGCGAGCCAGGACGCTTCGCCACTGCTTGATCTTGGGCCCCTGGCCCCCTCGGAAGTCCCTGCCCCCTTCCGTGGAGCCAGCTCTGCCCCCATCCGTGCTCTGACGGCCCCGTGGCCCAGCGGAGGCGCCCGGAGGCCGCCAACGGCCACCACCGTCCAGCGTGACCCTCTTCGCGGCGCGAGGGGCGCAGACCTGCGACGACATGACAGGGGCCCTGACACACACACACACAAGGACATGGACACAGATCCCAGGACGTACCCCATGTCCTCACATTCTCTGGGCTTCGTCCCCCCCCCGCCCACTTCCCACAGAATGTCCCCATCTCCTCCTGGGGGTCGACGACTCCCTGGGGGCCTGGGTGCTCCTCCCTCCTGGGACGTGCTCCTGCCCGACCCGAGGCCCCAGACCCCGACAGGACCGTGCTGCGCCCCGGGCCCGCTTCTGAGGGCCCCACTCGGCGGTGGACAAACCTTCCTTCAGTAAACCTCCCCTTCGTGAAAACGGCCTGGGGCCGAAACCGACGGATCTGGACCCGCAACATGACGGCCGCGACGCCCTCCCGCGAACCGCAAACGGCCAGTTCACTGATCGACGCGTCAGGGTAGGAGGCCTACCACGACCCGAGGCCCCAGACCCCGACAGGACCGTGCTGCGCCCCGGGCCCGCTTCTGAGGGCCCCACTCGGCGGTGGACAAACCTTCCTTCAGTAAACCTCCCCTTCGTGAAAACGGCCTGGGGCCGAAACCGACGGACCTGGACCCGCAACATGACGGCCGCGACGCCCTCCCGCGAACCGCAAACGGCCAGTTCACTGATCGACGCGTCAGGGTAGGAGGCCTACCACGACCCGAGGCCCCAGACCCCGACAGACCGTTGCTGCGCCCCGGGCCCCTTCTGATGGCCCCACTCGGCGGTGGACAAACCTTCCTTCAGTAAACCTCCCCTTCGTGAAAACGGCCTGGGGCCGAAACCGACGGACCTGGACCCGCAACATGACGGCCGCGACGCCCTCCCGCGAACCGCAAACGGCCAGTTCACTGATCGACGCGTCAGGGTAGGAGGCCTACCACGACCCGAGGCCCCAGACCCCGACAGGACCGTGCTGCGCCCCGGGCCCGCTTCTGAGGGCCCCACTCGGCGGTGGACAAACCTTCCTTCAGTAAACCTCCCCTTCGTGAAAACGGCCTGGGGCCGAAACCGACGGACCTGGACCCGCAACATGACGGCCGCGACGCCCTCCCGCGAACCGCAAACGGCCAGTTTCACTGATCGACGCGTCAGGGTAGGAGGCCTAACCACGACCCGAGGCCCAACCCCGACAGGAACCGTGCTGTCGCCCCCGGGCCCGCTTCTGAGGGGCCCACTCGGCGGTGGACAAACCTTCCTTTCAAGTAAACCTCCCCTTACGTGAAAACGGCCTGGGCGAAGAAGACGAAACCGACGGACCTGGACCCGCAACATGACGGCCGCGACGCCCTCCCGCGAACCGCAAACGGCCAGTTCACTGATCGACGCGTCAGGGTAGGAGGCCTACCACGACCCGAGGCCCCAGACCCCGACAGGACCGTGCTGCGCCCCGGGCCCGCCTCTGCGTGCCCCGCGTGGGCCCGGCACGGGCGCCCCTGCGGGGCCGAGGGGCCGAGGGAGGCAGGGCGCGCGCCCGCGATCATGGGGCCCGAGGCTGGCCCCTCGCGAGGGCGTGCGCAGCCCCGAGCGCCCGCGGCCAGCGTGATGTCGGGCCTGTCCCCCTGCAGGGGGATTTCGGACGAGAAATAAGAGATGCTCATAACAAGGCCCAAAGGATGCCCAAAAATACCCAAGCAATGGTCCCCAGACCATTTTTCATTATTTTTGAATATTCCCCCCTGTAGAGGGACAGGCCCGACTTGAGGCCAGCGCCGCCGCAGCGCGGAGGCCGCGCGAACACATCCTCGGCCCCCTCCCCTCCTCCTCCGTGCCCTGGGCGACGCCCCTCGACGAGGGGGCGGTGAAGGGGGGTGGGGGAGAAGGGTGCCCCTCTGCGGGGCCCGAGGGCCCCCCTGCGGGGCCCCTGCGGGGGCCCCAGAGGGCCCCTTCTTTTCGGCACCGCTCTCTGCCCCCCCCCCCCCACCTCCCCCCAAGTGATCGCCCCCTCCTTGTGCGTGGCCCGACAACCTCGACCCCGAGCTCCCCTCCTCGATCCTCCTCCCCTCCCCGATCCTCCTCCCCCTCCTGGATCCCCCGCCCCGTCCTCGATCCCGCTCCTCGGCCGCGCGCCGGGCCTCCGTCTCCACCGCCTCCAGGGAGTCCGTGGCCGGCGCCTCGCGCTTCCCGCCCCGAGGGGAGGCAGGGAGGCACGGGGAACGGGACGGGAGGGGGGCGCGGAGGACGGGTCCTCCTCCGACCAGCCAGGCGCCCCCCCCTGACTCCGGATCCGCCCTACGTTGGCTTTTTTTCCAGCTTAAAACTGCGTCGGAAATCCACGTATAAGAAGCCGAAACAGTAGGGCGGGCATGTCTGCACCCAACATTAATCAGGGCGGAAATCCACAGAAGTAGGGCGGAAACAGCAACAGACAAGTAGGGCGGAAATTGGCATCAGCGGGGCTTGGAAAGTAAGGCGGAAATTCCAAGCCCTACTTACGAATTTCCCGAAAATAGGGCGGATCCAGAGTCAGGGCCCCCCTCTCCCCCCGTGAGACCAGCTCCTTCCACTACTCGCAAAGTAGCTTCTCGCGGATGGCCTGGATCTGCCGCGGGGGATCTACGATGGATCGCGTAGGAGCAGACATGTGTTTTTGTCGGGAGTTTGCGAGTAGACACTTTGCGAATAGTGGAACGCGCTCGGTGACCCGTGGCCCCCCCTTCCTTTCTTCCGACCGCCCGTTTCCGGCGGGGGCACCGTCGACTTCGCGCCGCGGCCGACCCCTCCTTTTTCCGCGTGCCCAGCCAGGACTTGCCAGTCCTCTTCGACCTCCTCCCCGAAACCTTCACAAGACGGGTGTAAGTGTGGTTTTCGGCGTCCGGGGGCCCTTCGCATGGCCCTGGGGACGTCAAGAGCCGATGCGGGATGAGAATCCCGCACGGATCGGGAGCTCTGGGGACCCCGTCGTCTGATCTCCTCATCCCCCTGCTCCCTCTTTTATCCTCCTAATCCACCTCATCCACCTGCTCCTCCTCCTCGCCCCGATCTCTCGTCCTGTTCCTCTTGGTGGGAGGCAGGGATGCATGCTGGGAAGGAGGGAGAGGATGGATGGAACAGGGAGAATGCGGGAGGGAGGAGTTTTCTTGTTTGAGGGGGGCGGGGGATGGTGGTCGGGGGGAGGAGCAGGGGGAGACGCAGCCAGGCATGATCCAGCGGGGAGGAGCGAGGAAATGGCCAGGGGCCAAGGGGCCAAAGTGAGGAAAAGGGAGGAGAGGGAGAAGGAGCAAGAGAAGGATGCGGAATGAGGAGGGGGAGAGCCGCGGAGATTGCCGCACGCAGCTGCCCTCTCCAGGCCAGCTGCTGGCATGGTTCCTGCGGCTGCTGCTGCTAAGGAGGGGAGCGGAGACAAGAGAGGCAGGAGGCAGAGGTTGAGGTTCTCTATTCTCTGCTCTCGGCGGTGGACAAACCTTCCTTTAGTAGACCTCCCCTTAGTGAAAACGGCCTGGGGCCGAAACCGACGGACCTGGACCCGCAGCATAGTGGCCGCGACGCCCTCTCGCGAACCGAAAACTGCCAATTCCTCAATCGACGTGTCAGGGTAGGAGGTCTGTCCAACCCCGATGCTCTTCTGAGGGGGAACGGTGAGGAGTGGAGGGGGTACAGCTCGGGGGGGCGGTGGGGGGGGGTTGGACATCGAGCGTCGAGTCGGCGACGCGTCGGCGCCAGATTGGCGCCGCGCCGACCGCACTCTCCTGGGCGGGGGGCGGGCCGCTGTGTCACCCCCTTGAGCCTATCCCCCCCCTTTACTTGGGCGCGGGGGTAACTCGGGCCCGAGGTAACTCGGGTTTGGATTCCCGAGAAAGGAACCCGAGTTAGCCCTGACCCGAATTACCCCTGATGATGTGGGGCTCTGGACGCCCGAATTATCCGGGGTAACTCGGGTCCGGGGTAAGTCGGGTTCGGATTCCCGAAAAACGAACCCGAGTTAGCCCTGACCCGAGTTACCCCTGATGATTCGGGGCTCTGATGTAATTTACGCTGCCCCGAAGGACCTTCACCTCCCCCCCCTCCTGGCCCTCGCCCCCCTCGGCGCCTGGCGGTGTGTGGGGGTCATGCAGTGGAGGCCAGTCCACGAGAACCCTTCCACAAGGAGGAGGAACCTCCCACAAGAAGCCCAACCCTGGACCCCCAAGGCGTCCACTGATTCCTGTCGTGGTAACGGCACGCTTTCCACAGCAGAACTATCGGAACCCAAGAAGCCCAGGGCACCCTGGAGGCGAGCAGGGCGTTTCTTGGCCTGGGTCCCCACTGTGTGTTGCCGTGGACGTTGTGAGCCCCGGAGACGGCAAGGCCGTTTGTTCACCGTTTCCCCAAAAAATGTCCCTTGAAAATGGAAACGGCAAAAAACGGCGACCAGAAACGGCAAAAAAACGGCTCTAGGATTGGAACCGGAGCCGGAGCCAGTCAAAACACGGCGACGGAACGGGTCAAGAACCGGCGTCGGCACCGGCAACAGAAACGGCAAGACGGAACTGGTAAAAAACGGCCCTGTCGTTTCCAGGGCCCACTGAGGCCGTGGATGCTCTCCCCCCCCCCCTCCCGGTCCTCACCCCCCTCGGCGCCTGGTGGTTTGGGGGTCATAGCTCGGGCCTCGGGCAGACGCCCGGGCCGGCTCCGGCAGCCCAAGAAGCCCTCGACGAGGCGCAGCTGATGGAGACCACCCCGCCCTGATCTTCGAGAAAACCGACCCGTCAAGGGATTCCCCCCTCGAGCCACGAGGGAGTCAAACGGAACTGCAGCATCGAGGAAGAATCACGACCCGAGCCACAGACCCACTCGCTCTGCTGCGTGCGTCAAGCCGGCTCGATCTGTGGCTGCCCCAGGGCCCGCAACCGAACAGCAACGTCTGGTGCGAACAAACTGCCACGCGCGGAGCTCGAGGTCCCGGCGGACCTGCGAGATGTGTATGATCATGTACCAATTCGATCCTGCCCGTGGTCCTGCTCTCAACGCTCCTCATCCTCCTCCTCCTCTTCCACATCCGCCGCCTCCTCCTCCTCCTCCTCCTCCTCCTCCTCCTCCAAGAAGCCTCTTTCGGGCCACCTGGGGTGGCCCCTGGGGCTTCCGGGAAGCTCAGGCCACCCGGCGCGCGAGCGGCACCCTCGCGGCCTGCGCGCCCGAGGCCCCCGCCGTCGGCGACTCCTCGGGCCCGGCGTCCTGCGAGGGCAGCTCCTCGCCGGCGCGGCGGGGGCCGGGAGGTTGCGCCGAGGAGGAGGCCCGTGGTCGCCCTGCAGAGTCGAGCACGCTGCGCGCCTCCGCTGCGCGCCTCCGCGCGCGCCTCCTGCCCCGACGGCGGCGGCGGAGGAGGGGGGGGGCGCCTCCTGCCTCGGCGGCGGCGGAGGAGGAGGGGGGGGATGAGGAGGAGGAGGGGGGGGATGAGAGAGGAGGAGGAGGAGGAGAGGAGGAGGGGGAGGAGGAGGTAGGAGGGAGGGGGAGGAGGAGGAGGAGGAGGAGGAGGAGGAGGTGGAGGGAGGAGGAGGAGGAGGGGTGGAGGAGGAGGAGGGGAGGAATAGGAGGAGGAGCAGGAGGAGCAGGAGGAGGAGGAGGAGGAGGAGGAGGAGGAGGAGGGGGAGGGGGAGGGGGAGGAGGCTAGGAGGAGGTGCGCCTGTGCGGGGCACGAGGCAGGGGCACGGGCGAGGCATGGGCGGGCTGAGGGGCACCACGGTTAGTCAGGAGGGAACAAAAACACACAGACACAATTAATCGTCGATTGCCTAGAAAATATGGGAACATATGGGAAGTGGGGGGGAAGACGAAAACCCAGAAAATATATGGAAATATGGGGAATAGTGTTATTTGTGTGTATTTATTTGTGTGTCTCAGGGCCCCTTCAGTTAGGTCGGGCATGTCCCCTCAGCAGGGGGCATTTTGGGCGACAAACATGCAAAAAATACACCCAAAAACAAAACTAGTCACAAGATGCTTACAACATCGACCCAAGACTATGGTTTGACTATTGGGCGGACGGGCGCCGCGTCTAGGCCGGGCATGTCCCCCCATACAGGGGGGACCTTGGACGAAACATACAACAAATCACAACTAGTCAAACTGTACCCCTCCCCCACAACAAATGTCCCTCAACAAAAATATCCCCAAAAAAAACTGACTATGTTTGGTGAGGGGTGATTTTGAGGGGGGAGTATTTTTGTTGAGGGGTATTTTTTTTTGGGGGGGGGGGACATTTTGATTAGTTGTGATGTTTTGTTTGGGGGGGTCTTTTTTATGTTTCGTCCAACATCCCCCTTGTAGGGGGGACAGGCCCGACCTAACACCACGTCGAGCAGCGCTTGGCCCTGGAAGGCTGGGCGCTGAGGCACCGCGGCGCGCCGAAGCTCCCGCCGTCGCTCGAGAGCAGGGCGCAGCGGAGAGGTCATGCCACGCGCCAGCACCAGGGGCCGAGCACGAGCACGAGGCGGGGGGTGCTCGCTGTCCTCCCTCTCCTGGCCACTCCTCCTCCTCCTCCCTCTCCTCCTCCTCCTCCTCCTCCTCCTCCTCCTCCTCTTCCTCCTACCCCTTCTCCTCCCCCTCCTTCTTCTCCTCCTCCTCCTCCTCCTTCTCCTCCTCCTCCTCGGCGTCGGGCGCGAGCCCAGCAGAGAGGATGGGACGCGGCCGTCGAGGGCAACAGTTGCCTGCGGGAGGCCATGACCAGGGTCATAGGAGACGAGTGCTGCGAGGCACTCAAGGTATTCCATGGTAACCTGCTGGCGGACATCGAGAAGTTCTACGACAGCCTGCAGCTCGACTTCGTCATCGAGGCAGGCCTGCGCATGTGCTTCAGGCCGCGCCCCCTGATCGATGATGACCCTGCAGCACGCCGCGACGAGGGTTATCCGCTGGAAGGGCGCCTACTCCCTTCCTGTCTGGGCAGACCGCTCGATGCTAGCGGGCTCACAAAACAGCGACAGCCTGGCCAAGACTGTCGTCTACGTGATCCTGGGCAACATGCTCGAGCGGTCGCGCGCGCTGCCCAAGCCGATGCCGAGGGCCTGGTTCGACGACATCAGCGTCCGCATCGTGGGCAGCGCCAAGGCCGTCGAGCAGGAGCTGACGGATTCCACGCTGGCGATGCGGGACGAGCTAGAGACGCAGGGCCTCTCGCTGGCAGACATGACGGTGATCTTCACCACCAGCTACAAGACCACGCGCGACGTGCAGAGGGCGCTGAGGCAGAGGCAGCTGCGAGTCCAGGCGGTCACGGAAGGCAGAGACCTGGGCATCGACAGAGGCGCGCGTGGCACGTTGTGGCGAGGCACACACAGGAAGCGCCCGAGTGGCGCTTTCAGGAGATGTGGAGCGGTCGGCTCCGATCTGAGGAAGCTGGCGTTGACCAAGAGGAGAGGAGTGCTGCACGAGGGGCCCGTGGCGTCCTACAGGCACGGCGCCATCGTGCGCGGCATAGCGCCCTGGGCGAGGCAACCGGCGAGGAGGAGGTATGCGCAGGCGCTGAGGAGGCCGTGGCCAGGCAGGTGCCTCGCCACCTTCCTGGCGCTGGAGGGCGCGGACCCCGCGGTCACCGCGGTGCGCGCGCAGCTGAAGACCTGGTTAGAGGTCTGGGCCCGACGCCCAGGCATCCGCAGCCAAGTGAGGCGCACTTGGCTGAGGCTCTACTTCAGCATGCAGAAGCCGGGGGCCAGACATCTGGATAGACAGAAAATGGCGACTACTGAAAGTTCGGCACCGAGGAGCAGGGCGGCGACTACGCAGAGGTCGTCGACGCCTTCCTGGACGACCTGCAGGACCACTTGTGGGAGCAGGCTGCGCAGCGCCACATCGGGGCAGGCCATGGGGCGCGGCGCCGACGTCAAGGACCTGAGGCATCACCTCGGGCTGCTGGCCAAGAAGGAGCACTTCGGCACCCACGGCCCCTGCTGACGGCGGCGCGCGCGGGCGCATGGACGCAGCGCCGCAAGCGCGCTGCCTTCGGCGGCGAGGGGACGCCGCGCGAGTGCGGTATGCCCGCAGACGACGTGCACAGGATCTGGGGAGCCCGCACCGCGAGAGAGAGCTGCGAGGCAGCGAGGAGGGGCGAGGGTCTTTCAGAGCCCCGAATCATCAGGGGTAACTCGGGTCAGGGATAACTCGGGTTCGATTTTTCGGGAATCCAAACCCGAGTTACCCCGGACCCGAGCTACCCCGGATAATTCGGGCGTCCAGAGCCCCGAATCATCAGGGGTAACTCGGGTCAGGGCTAACTCGGGTTCGTTTTTTCGGGAATCCAAACCCGAGTTACCCCGGATCCGAGTTACCCCGGATAACTCGGGCGTCCAGAGCCCCGAATCATCAGGGGTAACTCGGGTCAGGGCTAACTCGGGTTCGTTTTTTCGGGAATCCAAACCCGAGTTACCCCGGACCCGAGTTACCCCGGATAACTCGGGCGCCCAAGCCTTGCTCGCGGGGCGCTCGCGGGGTGCGAGGCCAGCCCGGCCTTCTGGATTCCTGGCATCGCCCCGAAGAGGTGGGCCGCCCCGCCCAGGGTGCGACGCCCTGCCCGCCGAGCACCTCGCCGGCATCATGCAGCTCCGAGCAGCGGCTGCGCGCCGAGGAGGGCGGCGAGCTCCACGGGGCTGCGGAGGCGGCACTGGGGGAGAGTGCAGCGCGGACGAGCGCTGCTGCAGGTGCGGCTGGGGCTGGGTGCTCCTCGGCGGCGACGACGGGCAGGACCCGATCCGAGGCGCGCGCTTCGGACCCCTGCCAGGAGCGAGGCAGTCCAACCACCGCGCCGAGCTCTACGGCCTACTGAGCTTCCCGCGCGCAAGCGAGGGCAAGGTCACGTGCTGGACGGACAGGGAGGTCACGTGCATCGGATGGGAGGCCCATCGTGAGGGCACCCAGGGACAGGGCTGCAACGACGGCGACCTCTGGTACCAGGTGAGCGGGGCGATCCGCGCGAGAGGAGGCACCAGAGAAGATATCGCCCTCCGCCACTTGAATAGCCGCATGGCCGAGCAGGAGGCGGCGGCGAAGGGAGTGCCGCGGCCAGTTCGCGGACGCGGGCGCCGGGGCGCGCGCGATCAGCGACGCACAGATGAGCTGCTACGAGTGGGCCCGCGCCACCGCCCGCCTGGTGCGAGAGCGCATCGCAGCAGCAACGAAGGCGGCGCTCGCCAGGAGACCGCCAGACGAGAGAAAGAGATGCGAGAGGTCAGGAGGCAGCTCGCGCGCCAGAGGAGGCGCGACCGCCTCCTCAAGAGAGACCTTCTGGGCAGCGAGGCGACCAGGAAACCCCTGTCCCAACGCATCCTCCAGAGAGACAGGCGTGGTAAGGGCTGGAGGTGCCATCGCTGCAGAGAATCGGTCAGCACCTCGACGACGACGGAGACCATTCGCGCCTCGCTCGAGGGGCCTCGCAGCGGGCCGCCCCCCCCCCTCAGCGGGCGGTCACCGTCGCGAAGTCCGGGGTCGAGCCCCACCCGACGCACACGCTGCGCAGGCGGCTCGGCCACGAGCGCTGCTTCTGCGAGCGCCGCGGTGGCGCCACGACGGCGCTCGTCGCTGCCGAGCTGCAGGCGCCATGCTGCGGCCACGCGGCCTGCAGCAGCGGCTGCTACACACTCCCGGGCTGGCCGAGGCAGGCAGCCCAGGGAGGGAGCGCCGAGGCAGGCGCAGGCGGCGGAGGAGAGCTGCCCCGCGGCGAGCGGGGACGGCGCCCTGCCGCTGCCGCAGCCACAGGAGGGGGGCTCGGGGAGGCACGCCAGAGCGGGCCCCGAGTTCGGGCGGGGCCACGGCAGCTCGCGGCCCGAGCGGCAGGTCCAGCGCCCCAGCGACGACGAGGAGGAGGCGCTGCGGATGGCGCCCCACGAGGAGCCGACGGGGACGTTGCTCGGGACCGTCGGTCCCCTCGGAGGGCAGGTGGGGACTGGGCACGGACCGTCGCTCCTCGGGGAGCCGACTGGGACTCCGCTCGGAACCATCGGCCCCCTCGGAGGGCCGATTGGGGCTGAGCGCGAGACCGTCGGCGCCTGGGGGCGCCAGAGCGGGCCTCGAGTGTGGGCGGGGCCGAGCGGCTCGCGGCCCTCGCGGCGCGCCAGGCCGCGCAGCGAGGCCGAGGAGCAGTTGGCGACGGTGCGGCCCCTGGAGGCAGCCGGAGGGCCAACGCGCGAACAGCCGTCGACAGAGGAGAAGGCGAGAGCGCGACCCACATCAGAGGACGGCTGCCCAGAGGCAGCAGACGCAGACACAAGAGCCAGAGACCTCCTAGACGCGGAGAGGGAGAGGGCAGCGCAACAGCGCAGATGCAGGCCCCCCGCCAGAGGAGAACACGCAGAATCAGCACCCCGACCGCCGACGATGTCGCTCGGCGAGCTCCGCAGGCTGCTGGAGGGGAGAGGAGCCCGTCAGCCCGCCCCCAGCACCGCCGCCAGCGCGCGCACAGGGGCAGACGACGCGGCGTGGCCGAGAGGCGGCCGCGTCGTCTGCCGGGCGGGCGGCGGGCGGGCGGCGGCCGAGAGGCGGCCGCGCGAAGCGAGCCTGCGGACCGAGGATGCGGCCCACCCTCGCCGCCGCCCGCCGTCGCGGAGCCACAAGAGGAGGAGGAGGAGGAGGAGGAGGAGAAGAGGAGGAGGAGGGGGAGGAGGAGGAGGAGGTTCATTGAGGGCGCTGTGGAGGAGCGCCAGCCGCCGCGCGCGCCCGCGGCGCGCGCGGCGGCCCAACCGCCACGAAGCTGGTCGCTCGAAAGGGTCGAAAGGGGGCGCCTCTCCTCCTCCTCTCCTCCTCCTCCTCCTCCTCCTCCTCCCTCCTCCTCCTCCTCCTCTCCCTCCCCTGCTCCTGCTCCTGCTCCTGCCCTCCTCCTCCTCCTCCTCCTCCCTCCTCCTCCTCATCCTCCCTTCTTCCTCGCCCTCCCCTTATCCCCCCCCTTCCTCTCCTCGTCCTCTCCTTCTTCTCCTCCTCCTCCTTCCTCCTCCTCCTCTCTCCTCCTCCTCCTCCTCCTCCTCCTCATCGTCCCCTTCTCAACACATCCAGCGGCCCCCATCTTCTCCAAGAAATGAGGGCCAGGAGATCTGGAACACATCGTGGCCCTGCCATGGAATCTAATAACTACCCCCCCCATCCCTTGCGCCCCCCCCCCCCCCTCTCATGTAGGCAGCCCACACAGGGTTACGCGCCCAGTCACTGACATGAGCACTGCCTCGTGTTACGAACTGTTGGCGCATGGCGTACTCTCGAAGCCAACGGAACTCGGAGTATGTGTTTGTTTTTCTGTCGCTCCCGATCTTGGACGGGCTCGAGACCCAGTCATGCGACGTCCTGGTTTATGAGAGAGCGTGATCCACCGCCGCTTTACTATAAAAAAATCCCCCCTCCTTCCTCCGGAAACCCGCCCCCACCCTCCGAAATCCCCCCCCCTGCTGAACCCCCCCACCCTCCCCCCATCCCCCAGCCACCCCCCCCTCTCCTCCTCTATCGCCCCCCCCTCCACTCCGGAAAACCCGACCCCCCACGACCGGGTTCAGGGGGGTCACCGTCACTACCGGTTCGACCCCCCCCCCTCGAAAACCGGGGGGGGTCACTACCGGTTCGAACCCCCCCCCCCCCACGCTCACCGCCAGCAAACGACTCCCGGTCCCTACCACCGTCCGCACCACATCCCCCACTGCTGTTCCCCAGCACCACTGTCCTCACCACCACTGTCCCCACTGGTTCCACCACCGTCCCTACTGTCCCCACCAGTGCCCCCACCACTGTCGCACTGTCCCCACTGTCCCCACCACTGTTCCCACCACTGTTCCACTCTCCCCACCTTCCCCACGGCCCCAACCACCCACTGCCCGACTGTCCCACTGTCCCCACTGTCCCACTGTCTCTTCCGCTGTCCCACTGAGCTGTCCCACTGTTCCCACCACTGTCTCCACCACTGTCCCCACTGTACCTCTGTCCCATTGTCCCACCGCCGTCCCCGCCACCGCCCTCACGCTGTCCCACTGTTTCCACAACATTCCCACTGTCCCCACACCACTGTCCCCACCACCACCGTCCCAACCACTGTCCCACTGTCCCCACTGTTCCCACCATTGTCCCCGCTGTCCCCACCAGTGCCCCCACCAGTGTGTCAATGTCCCCACTCTCCCCGGCCTGGCGGCGAAGGGAGGGGGGTTCGAACCAGTAGTGACCCCCCTCGGTTTTCGAGGGAGGGGGGGGGTGAATCGGTAGTGACCCCCCCAGATTTCGAGGGGGGGGGGGGTTCGAACCGGTAGTGACCCCCACCCTTTCATGATGGACTGGGCGGGGGGGGGGGGGACTCGAACCGGTAGTGACCCCCCCGGTTTTCCGCAGGGGGGGGGTCGAACCGGTAGTGACCCCCCCCCCCCCCCGGTTTTCTGCCAGCAGTTGTAGAACACGCTCTTTCGGATGTTTTCCGGACGGCGTCCATGGAAGTCCCGATCCTTTCCCCGAGAACCGTTTTTCGTCCTGAGTCGTTTTTTGAAGGTCCCGAGGCCCGGCGAGGGCCCCCGGGGCCGAAAACTCACAAAACCATCCCATCCGGATGTCTTAACGACGCGGTCATGTCTGGGAAGGGGATTGTTGTTTGAGGGGAACGCACACACGGGGCTCGCGGGCGGGGGCTCTCCCCGGCGGAGAGCGCCCGATGGTGGCTTGGAAGCAAACAGCTGGTGGAGGCACCGTGCATCTCCTCGGTAGACGAAGCTCGCTGGTGGTGGTGGTGGTGGTGGTGGTGGTGGTGGTGGTGGTGTTACGCCCCGTCCCTCTAAAAAGAGCGCCCGGAAGAGGCCGAAGCGAACGCCATGGTCCAGGCGCCATCCATGATGGGGGCCCACCAAGGTCAAGCCCGCGTTTGGCTGCGCGCACTATATACCAAGGGGGATCCACTACTTCGCCTGGCCTGGGTGCCGAAGCGGTTGGTTTTTCTTTTCCCGGCGGGAGCCATCTCGCGCCGTGCGCCAGCATCCCGCAAGGCGCATTGTCGATGCCACCTACAGGCCGTCGCCTCCGACGCGAACGATTCAAAGCAGCCCGAAACTGCTCGATGCTATCCGATGCAAACTGGACGCTGCCCAGTGCGTCACCACTCCAGTGGCCATCCACGCCGTGCACAAAACCCGCCGCGCCGCATGATCAGACATAGTTCGTCAATTCGGGAATTCGGATCGAATCGGGATGTGCGTCGGATCGGGCCGCATCGGCGAGGAGACGAAATCAAACCGGACCAACCTCGCAAGGACGGAGGACTGCGCCACGCAAACATCGCGGGGTGGCTGTGTCGGATCCTCGGAATATCTAGATGGAATCGGATCGGGCTGGCCGAAATCAAAATCGGATCGATCGGCTCGTAAGGGTGACCGGAATGAGGCCACGCATATTTGTGCGTCGGCGGCTAGGCAGAGTAGCTGCGCTGGCAGAGGAGCGAACTAAACGGGGGCACCGTTGTAGCGAATTGCTCGACAAGGCAAAAGTGAAACACTGGGAAGGCGAACGGCCGAAGGGGAGGGCGAGGGCCGCTCAGGGGGACGGGTCACGCCCGGAGCGAGCGGCGCGGCCGGCCCCGCCGAGGCCTCACACAGCTCCCCCACAGAACTCCTCGCGCCGAGGGCGCCGATCAGTAGGCTAGGCCAGCCTGCAGCACGTTGATTTGGCACCCCGACCCCGCCAAGGTGCGCCGCCCCACCGTGGCTTGGAGGGGGAAGGAGGGAGAGAGGGCGAGGAAGAAAACAAGCAGCAACAGAGCCTACACATCCGAGGCCGTAGTAGCACCCAGCGTGGAGACTGGCATCTACGAAACGCTCAACCCCATGTCAGGGCATTCCCGTCCCAGAAATGACGGCCTCCTACTGCCGACCTCCCCGTCCTCATCCTCGTCGTGGACGTCATCTCTTCCCGCGGCAGCCGCGTGCGCAGCCCCGTGGCGAGGTGGACAGGTCGCAACCGTCGCGCGCGCGCCCGGAAGAACGAGCACGGCAAAAAAATGGGCCGTGATTCGAATTAGGGATTTGCAAGTCGAACTGGCTTACCCCAACTTTGGCCGTGGCACGAGCACGGAATTTGACTTACCCCAACTTGGATTTCCAAGTCGAATCTTCACACAAATATGTAGAATATTCGTTGATCTGCGACAATTATACGAATTGTCCGTGAATTCGACGAGAAAAATCAATTCAAGGGTAAATGAATCATGTAATCGATCACCGAACTATTCGAGTGAGGGAGCACACCCCCAGAAACAGCCCCCACCCGCCCGCGGAGAACCACGCAGGGCCAGAAGGACCGTCGTCCTCCACCTCTTCCGCTTCCGCACCCAAGCTCAAACCATCCATCCGACCCCCCGTTCGCTGTTTGGACATCGGGGTGGTCTTAAGACGAGGCCAAGACATGGACAAACTGGGACGGGCGCAACATCGGGGATCTCCCAAATCCGAAGGCTCTGGAGGATGTGTCGGGCGAGGCGGCCGCTCCAGAGCGTTCCGGAACGCCCCGAGAGCGCCCGAGAACGCTGCAGAACGAGTCCGATTCATCCCAGTCCTAGCCCCGCCCGAGGTCTAGAGGGACCAGGAGCCTCCAACCCCAAGGGCCGACACCTGGTTTCGCGCCTTGACCTGTGCGGCGCACGGCATGCGGCGACGCACGGCGTGCGCACGCGTGCACGCGCCACGCTTCCAGGCGCCTTCGGCGCCCGCCCGCGCTATAGTCTCCCAGGCCTCTCGATGCGGCCCGTGCCTCTGGACGCCTCCGCTGCCCTCACATGCCTGCCGTCGCGATTTTGTTCACAATGAGTCGGCCCCTGGCGGTCTGGACCCGTTTTTTTGTTTGCACATTTTTTTAATTGTTTCGTAATTTTTGTTCGGGTTTCCGTCCCGGGTCGCCTGCTGACTGCCCGAGGGGCCCAGCAGGGGCCCCCAGAGGCCGAGAGCGACAGCAAAGAGCTCCCGCCGTGAGACTTCCCCGACGCGACAGGGGCCCTCGCCATCGCTCGGACGTCCAGTCCCTGTTTTTTTTTCGGTTTCGCGCGTGGCTTTTCGCCAAATGATCCAGGATGCTCCTCGATGGCCCTCGCCGAAGGAAGCAGGTACACGTCCGAGCGATGCCAAGGTTCTGGACGCGTGGACTTCCTCCCCCGGCGCCGCGGCGGCGCCTCGGCTTCCAGCTCCTCGCGCCTCGTCGGCCTGGCGGCCGGCCGGCTGCTGCGGCCCGCCAGCGCCCGGGCGCCCGCCAGCACGGGCTCCTCGGGAGCGGTGCGGGCAGGGAGGGGCGCCGAGCCCGTCTCGCTCCCTCCTCCCTCCTCCCTCCTCCCTCCTCCCTCCTCCCTCGGGGGGCACCGAGCCCGTCCGGGCCGTTCGTCTGGGCCGGTCGGTGCGTCCCGCTCCCAGGGGACGCACAGAGACGTACTGATACGATACGTCCGCCTTGGAGGCGCGCGTCCGACCCGAACACATAGTATGCCCATCTGGTAGTCGATTGTTTCCCGAGCGGCGTGGCCAGAAAGCGCCCGCCACGACGCGAACACTATAAGATTTCTCGGTGCGCGCGTCGCCCCGGGGGGGGCGACGAACACATGGTACAAATATGTTGGGGGACGCCAGGCCTGCCCGGAAAGGCGTACGCGGACCATCCTCATCGCCACCACCACCATCACAGTCGCCAGCGCCATCGAATCGTCGTCGTATTGGTTCACAGCCCACGGCACAATTGTCCGCGTCGTCGTCATCATCGCCATCACCATCACCATCATCACCACCATCCCCATCACCATCGTCACCATCAACACCATAATCCGCATCGCCACCACTGTCGTGACTTCCGTATTGGCAACCACTTCCGCTGTCAGCTGGGCGCTGCTGGCGGGGAGACAAAACTCCGGACTGCTTCCTTCACTGCTCTGAGGGTGTTGGCCTGCCCTGTCGCTTCCAGTGGGCTTCAGAAGTTTCGGGATCACAGAACGGAGGAGGGACACTTTCCCGAGCGCGGCAAGCGCGCTTTCAACGCCTCCGACGTCCGACAACGCCTCGCAGCCACCGTCCGATCCGCGAGGGCTGGCGCGCCCAGACGACAGGGTCGGCTCCAGGGTCGGCGGCATCGGCCGTAAGGCCTTCGCAATCCAAATTCCAGACTGGTTCCGTCACTGCTCTGAGGGTGTTGGCCTGCCCTGTCGCTTCCAGTGGGCTGCAGAAGTTTCGGGATGGTTCCTATAATTAGATCGCCCAGGGTGGCCTCGGGCAGCGGCCCTGGGAACCTCCCAAACCTTCTCATCAAAAGCGCCCCCGGCTGCCCCGAGAAACGAGTGTTCCAGGCTCCGAAGGGGGGGGGGCCTTAGCTGGTGCCCTTCCTTGTTGCTCACTGGCCCCACGAAGGGCAGAGAAAGCCACCCATACGGCCGCGAAAGTGTCCCGAAGGTTTCCAGGGCAACGGGAGCCCAAGATGGTCCAAGTCCCACCAGCCATTTCTGGGCGCAGTTGGTGCAAATGGCTTCCTGATTCACCGTCCTCCTTCGCCTTCGGAGAGGGGCTTACCCCTCCCCCGACCCATCCATCTGGACCGGGGGGGTGGGGCGAAGCGTTATGCGCCACAATGAAGGGGCCCTGAGACACACAAAGAAATACACAAATAACAGGATTCCCAATCCTTTTCCATATGTTCTGGGTTTTTGTCTCCCCCCCACTTCCCATATTTTCCTACATTTTCCTGGGGGTCGACGATTGATTCTGCCTGTGTTTTTCCCCCTCCTGGGAAGCGTTATGCGCCACAGAAGGCCCGAGGTGGATCCGAGAGGGCCTCGGAGAGCCCAGCTTGCCCTCGAGAGTGGCGCCAAGCCACCCCCAGACGGCTGCGAGTGGCCGGGGAGCCTGCCCGGGGAGACCCACGAGATGAGTGCCGTCAGCCCCTCCTCTTCTCGGATGCTGGATCTCACGCTTGGGCCTCCTGCCCCCCAAGACCTCGGCGAGCTCTCCTCTCCCCTCTGCCCCTGCTCCCTCTCTGCCCTCTCCCCCTCCTCCCACGCATGTGCCTCGCAGCCTTTCTGGGCCCACCTGGGGATCGGCCTCGGGCGGCCCAGAGCAAGGCTCGAGTGAAACCGTGTCTTCCGTCTGCGTTTTGTCTTCGTCACTCCTGGTTCTGTCTTCGCTCCACATCTGCTGCAAAACGAAGCCAAAACGAAAAAAATGGTCCACGAAATGGCCAAAACACCGTTCAGCTCGAACCCTGGCCCCGAGGCCGGGGCCCCGGAGGCTGCCCGAAGGACTCGCGCGGCCGCGCCACATAGCGCGGCGTGTGGCGGTGGGGAGCCCTCGCGGGCCTGCGGCCGGGCGTCCACAACCTGCCGTCGCTCGGACGTCCATTCCCTGTGTTTGTTTCGGTTTCGTGCGTGGCTTTTTCGCCCAATGATCAAGGATGCTCCTCGATGGTCCTCGCCGAAGGAAACATGCACACGTCCGAGCGATGCCAAGACAGGCGGCCCCGAGCCCACGCCGGCCGCGAGACGCCAGCCACGTGGCGGGCCGCGGCGCGGGCCAGCAGCAGGGCGCCGGGCGCCCCTGCAGGGCGCCGGCCGCGTCTGGGCGCCCGCGCGCGGCCGCCCCCTGCGGGGCGCTGCGCCGCATGGCTGCTGCGTGTGGGGAACCCACAGAGGACGTACAGGGCAGTTTCTAATAATACATTGGATTGTTTTTTTTGATAAGAAATATTTCTTTTTTTTGTAAAAAAAATACATAGATATATGATAAATACATGACTAATGTATGAATGAATTGATGCATGAACTCATCGCTGTTTTTAATGCTAGATCCCTGCATGTTTCAACACGTGACCCGCACGTGGAGCATGTATAAAAAAACGGCACTGTACGCGCCGAGACAGGCACATGAACGCGGCCGATCGATTCGCGAGGCCGTCCGCGTGACACGGACACTCGCGCAACGCAGACTCTCGAAACCAACGTGGATCCACGCACGTGTACATCCTTGTGTCGCTCCCGATCGGGAGCGGCCAAGAAGGGTAAAACGACGCGAAGATCGGGTCAAAATCGGATCGGGATAACTCGAAATCTCTGAGAATCGGCGGGTTTAGAGGATGTATTGGGCGCCGCGGCCGCTCCAGAGCGTTCCGGAACGCTCTGAGAGCGCTCCGGAACGCTCTGGAGCGATTTATCCCGATCCTAGCCCTGTTTTAAAGGGGACGTCCAAGAGGACGGGGGGTGCAAATCATGACCGGCGGCATGTGCGCGGCCCAGCGGGGGGGCTGGGAACGCAATGAAATGAGCAGAGGCGCCGTGAAATCTGGGGAAATATCATGGCTCCCGCCATGAGATCCACCCCCCCCCTAGTCATCCCCCCCCCCCTCTTTGCCGCCCCCGACCCCAGCGTGGCTGCCCGCGGTGCCTGGGAGCATCCCGGGCATGCGCAGGGCGCGCCCCCACGCGGAGGAGCCCCACGGGCGCGGCGTGTATACTCTGCGACGTCCGGGCCGAGTCTCTGGAGAGGACCCCGCAGGGAGGCGCTCGTCGACGACAGCGGCAGCGGGCCCCCCCCGGACACGGGCGCGGCCCCGCCAAGCGCGCACCCCTCGGACCGAGAGAAAGGGGGGGATAGCTTAAAGGGGGGGTTTGAAAATCAGCCCACGTGGCTGATTTTCCTGGCGCCTCCCGGCGCCGGGAGGCGCCCATGCATCGAGGAGTGGGCCCGGCGGCGGGGCCGAAACCAGCTGCATGCAGCAGATTTCGCACCCCCCGCTTTCCCTGTCCCCCCCTTTCGTTCGGCCCGAACTCCGCACAGCTGGCCGGGTCGTCAAGTTGGGGGCCCAACCGAGCAAGCTCCCAGGCCCCTAGGACCCTTCAAAGGCTCGTTGGATCGGGGGCTGGGGTGTCTGGGCCCTGGCTTGGAGACCCGAGGGCCATCGAACCCTCTGGACATCTGGGGGCGTGGGCGGCGGGGCATTCGAAGCAGTTGGACGTTTCGAGATCTGCCCTCTCCGCCCGTGAGGGCCACGCTCGGCTCAGCTCCGAAGGCCGCTGGGTCATGCACCTCCTGGATCAGGCGGGCGTCTGCCTCTTCGGCGCCGCCTGGCCCATCGCTGCATCTAGACGTGGTCCTCGTAGAGCCGCATGTGTCGGAGGTGGACAAACCTCCCTTTAGTAGACCTCCCCTTAGTGAAAACGGCCTAGGACCGAAACCGACGGAGCTGGACCCGCAAAAATGACGGCCGCGACGCCCTCTGGCGAACCGAAAACGGCCAATTCCTTAATCGACGTGTCAGGGTAGGAGGTCTGTCAACCTCCGAATGTAGCCCTCGTAGATCAGCCGGTGGGTCTGGAGCCTGCGCCTGTGGCCCGACCGGCAGTTCCCGAAGGTATTTGCTGGCCCCCGCAGCTCGGGCAGCGGCCCTCGCGGCCCAGCGGGCAGCACCCGTGGCTCGGCTGGTGACTCGCGCGGCCCTGCTGGCGGCCTTCGACCACCTGGCCATCGCTCGGACGTCCAGTCCCTGTGTTTTTTTCAGTTTCGTGCGTGGCTTGTTCGGCAAATGATCAAGGATTCAAGGATGCTCCTCGATGGTCCTCGCCGACATGTCCGAGCGATACCAGGCCACTTGCTGGTGGTCGTGCTGGTGGTGCGGGTATCGTTTGCAGCAGTCGCCCACGCCGGAACTACGGGTTTGGGTTGGTCGTGCTGCTGGTCGTACTCGTGGTCGCGCTTCGGGACCTCCACGACGATGGTTGTTTACTCCGCCTTGTCGCACTTGCTGCGACATTTGCTGTGTTTGGAGTTGCACTTGTTGTCGCATACATCGTCGTACTTCTGAAGAGCAGCGCAGGTACCGACCGTGATGTCTGCGAGAGTTGGCTGACATCAGTGTCTGACGTGGTATCCCATACGCCTGCGGCGAGCGGGCTCCGCTCTGATTCTCGGCGGCTGTAGACGGCAAGCTCCCAGAGTGGGGATCCTCGTAACGTAACTACTGATCCACACGTGGACCTTGATGATCCGCCCGTAGACCTCGATGGTTTGCACATAGACCTTGATGAGCAGCTCGAGGACCGTATGGCTATTGTTAAGTCGGGCCTGTCCCCCTACAGGGGGATTTTGGGCGAAACATGAAAAATCAAACAATACCCCCCAAATGCTCAAAGGTAGTCCAAAAATCGTCCCCAGACTATTTTTTTATTACTTTTGAATATTCCCCCTGTAGAGGGACACGCCCGACGTAACCAGAGGACGACCGTATGGCTACTGGCAACCGCCGGCCGCGGCGCGGCCAGCGGGCTGATATGACGCCGTCCCCCCCCCCCCCTGCACACGGGGGGCACAAGGTGCCCGAGAACGGCACGTTTCCTCCTCCTGCTCCTGCTCCTGCTCCTCGTCCTCGTCCTCGTCCTCGTCCTCCTCCTCCTCCTCCTCCTCCTCCTGTCCTCCTCCCCCTCCCGACAGCTCCTGGTCCTCGTCCTCGTCCTCCTCCTCCTCCGCCAAAACTTTGAAGAAACATCTCGCAGTAGCGCCGCCGAACCTCCACGCGCGCCACAAGATCTGTCTGGGGATCCCCAGGGACGCCGCAGGACACGTGGGCACGCCCCTCCACCCCGCTCACTGAGGCGGAGCCCGGGGAGGAGGAGAACGACGCCGACGACGCGACGACGGCGGCATATGAATACATCACGACTGGACGGCGAACGGCGAACGGCGAACGACGAAGACGACGTCGACGACGTCGACGACGACGACGAGCAGCAGCGGCAGGGCCCTCCCGCCTTGGCATCAGCCGCATCTTGCGCCAACGCTGTCGGCGACGTCACCGCCGGCTGCTCGGCCGGGGACTGCTCCGAGGGGGCCTGCGGAGCGGGCGTTTGGGGGGGGATCGGTGGGCATCTGACCCAAACCTCCGACGAGATGTCTTTCCTAGGCGACGGACAAACCTCCCTTTAGTAAGCCTCCGCTTGCGAAAACGGCCTGGGACCGAAACCGACGGACCTGGACCCGCCAAATGACGGCCGCGACGGCCTCTCGCGAACCGAAAACGGCCAATTCCTGAATCGACGTGTCAGGGTAGGAGGTCTGTCCACCCCCGATTTCCAATCTGGGAGTTCGTCCTCGAGCTTGGCCTCCGGTCGAGGCCCAGGGGCCATCAACAGCGGACCCGGGGCCAGACATCGCCCCGGGGAGAAGGTCGGGAGCTCATGGGGCCCCAGATCCGAACAATCAGAAAAGAAGACGTCGGGGAATCGGGATGTCGGATCGGGTCGGAACGTGCGTCGGATCGGGCTGGGCAGGCACGCGGACGAGATCGAAGCGGATGGGCCGCGCCAGGATGCGCAACGGCGCCTTGCAAGCGGCGGTTGGCTTCAGATCGTTAGGACATCGGAGTCGAATCAGATCGGGCTGGCCACAATCGATATCGAATTGATTGGATCGAAATGGACCCTGGGTGGGCGGGCGGGATACCGCGGAGATCAGGAGCAGGAGGAGAAGGAGGGGGAGGGGGAGGAGGGGGAAGAGGGGGCGGAGAGAAGGACCAGGACGCGGCGGAGCACGACTCACGACGAGGTGAGAGGGGAGGACGAGGAGGACAAGCTCCGACAGCCGCGCGAAGAGAGAGGGCAATCCGATCGGGACGAAAAGGAGGCGGAGGACGACGAGGACGTCTGCGACGAGGGCGAGGCATGTGCCAAGCGCCAGGAGGGCCACGCGGGCGAGACTCCGACGAGGCCTCCGTCGTCGTGCCCGCCAGGCGGTCCACCAGCGCTGGGATGTCCAGCTCCGCGTCGTCCTCGGCGGGGGGCGGCGGCGGGGGGGGCGGCCAAGCGGCGGGTGCTCCCGAGACCCAGGCGCTGCCGTCTTTTGAGAGGGTCACGGCACCTGGCTGCGAGAACGCGTGGTCCTAATCAAATTCAGCACACCTGTGCGAATGGTTGTGCTACGCTTCCTGGACACAAAGCCTCTCAGCGTGTCACATCGTAATCGAAAACGAGCGTTAAAATTTGCCGCGGTCGCCTCAGAAAAACACTTGATGTCGTGTGACGGCATGATTAGCTGTGGGCGCGATGCGATCCATGAAGGACGAAAACACGGAGCTGAGGGTGCACCCTCGCGGGAGAAATTGCATGATGTAGGGGCTTGGACGACACACAAGCACACACCCAGTCCTCCAGACTATAGCAGCTGTGATCCTGCGCACAGCCACTTGACCAACATGTGCCAAATAATTAAGAAGCGCTGCGTGGCACAGGCTGTTCGGAATTCCCGTACTCCAGGTGGGCAACACAGACTGCTAAACGAGTGCCTTGTGAACAAATCTCCGGGGGAGCCTCGCCACCTGGCCTTCTTCGGCCGGGGGAGAAGACCACGCCTGAGCTATGGGCCCTCTTCCCCCCCTTTCCCAATCCCCCCCTTTCGTCCGGCCCGAGAATGATGGTTGAAAATGCACGCACACGGGACCCCGAGGATCGCCCGAGGCACTTCCCGCCGCCGTCGCGACCCGGGCCGCGCGCCGGCTGTCTGGCGTCCCGCATGCGGCGCCAGCAGCGGCGGGCCTCCTACGCATACTGGAGGACGTACTCGGAGCGCACCACGAACCGCCCGTCGACGATCACGCGCGCGCCGTGCGGGTAGAGGTCGTACTCCATGTCGTAGAGGTCCCTCATCTGTCTGCACAGGTTGTCGAAAGACTCCGGAGTGACCTTGTGGCACCGTTTGTCCACGTGCCAGGTGATGTGGTAAGGGGAGCAAACCTCATTGTTGTGCGACGTCCCAGTGGTGGAGCCGGGATACATCACCGCGCTCGAGTGGTTGGTGACAGTCCATGAGTGCAGCAAGTCGCTCTCATTGACGCCACCATCCTCTGCAGGAACGATCTGGAACACCTGACCCTGGACCACGATCATCGGGTTGAGGATGCCCCTGCCATTTGCGGCACCTCCGAGCCCGTCATCGATGCCGTCGACGTCTGCTTCTGCGAGGTCTTCTGCGGAGTACCCGGCCGAAGAGTGCACGTAATGCACCTCGTAGGTCTTGCCGACCTCCATCTCGCCCTGGCAGTGCTGGAACGTGTAATCCACTGGACTGGCCATGGACACGGCCTCGCACATGTAGCCTGGCCGCACTGCCGAACCCGACCGGCGCCCGCTATCGTAGGCGTCAGAATCTGTCTGGTCCTGGTAGGCCTCCGCCCGGTGCTCGGCGCCCAGGTGGAAATGCACATTCACCAAGGGCAAGGCTTCCGCCTGGGCCGCATTCAAGGTCACCTGCTTCGGGCGCATCTCCCCCTGCGCGCCGTCCGTCAGGTCGCGGGGCGACTGCGGCTCCGCGAACATGCACGGGGGCTTCGTGAACCTGTAGCCGCTCGGACCGGCCGCGACGTCCTTCTCCGGCACACCGCAGCAGCCGTTGTCCCTGTACCACTCCTTCACCGTGCCGCACGTCACTGCGGCGGAGCGCGGCGCAGCCGCAAGCAAGGCGAAGGCCACCCTGCTCAGGGCCATTGGGCGACTTGATTTCCAGCCAGCGAGGCTCTCTTGGCGGCGCAGAGGCGAGGCCTCCGGCAGAAAACTTGAGCCAAAATGGCTGTTCCGAGTTTCTTAATAAGCGTGGGGGGGGCGCCACCCCCGCCGACAGCCCCACATCGACCCCCGTGGCGGGCAGCGCGCGCCGAAGGCGCTCCGACCCCCGTCGCAGCGCGACGACGAGGCGAGGTTGACCCCCGTCAGGGGGGTACCAACCCACGCCTATTCAGAAACCCAGCACACGGAATCCGGGCGCTGCCATTCTACTGGTTCACAGCGGGCGTTCTCGCCCAGTTTCGGGCCCCGGGGACCCTCGCAGATCGACGTCGGGTTCGAAGACTGTGGCAGGGGATGGGGTCCAGGGCGTCGGCCGTGCTTTTCCACGATGCTGCAATGTTTGTCGATCCGTCGGACCTCAGGGGATCAAAACCCTTTAGATGTGGTCCGAGATGATGGGGGATTGCACCGTATCGCCGACGTATCGCCGATGCATCGCCGATGCATTGGCAATGCACCGGCGACGTCGGCGATGCACCGGCAACGTCGGTGTAGAGAAAATCGGGCTCCACGAGGAGCAGCGTTGCCGATGCATCGGGGACGCATCGGCGATGCGGCGCGACTCTCCGACCCCATCTGTATACTCCGACCCTTTGTGGGCCCCGGAAACGGCAGGGCCGTTTTTTCACCGTTTCCAGAAAAATGTTCCTTGAAAATGGAAACGGCCAAACAACGGCGACCGGAAACGGCAAAACAAACGGCTCCAAGATCGGAACCGGAGCCGGAACCGGTCAAAAAACGGCGACGGAACCGGTAAAAAAACGGCGCCGGAACCGGCAACAAAAACGGCAAAACGGAACCGGTAACAAAAACGGCCCTGTCGTTTCCAGGGCCCACTAAGCTCCGACCCCATCTGGGAGCGCTCCGAGCGGATTTCTCGGATCTGCGCTGAAACTCCCGCGCCCTGGCGGGCGGAGCGCGCCATGGGGCCGCGCTGGAGGCGCCGGCCCAGAAGGCGCCCCGACGCCGAGCCAAGAAATCCGCGCGGAGCGCCAAACGTTTATGTCTGCGGCGCTTTTTCTCCCGGGGCGGGGGGGGAGGGGGGACTGGCCACGACAAGACTTACGTCGGGCCTGTCCTCGTAATGGAGGATGACGATTACTAAATGACCGGGGGTCGTGTTCACGCGGCGGCGCCTGGGATGACGATTAGAAAAAACCGGCCGCGGGCTGGAAAACTATTTCATTAATCGTTCTCCCCCAGTCAGGACATCATGCAGAAATGGCAAAAAACTATTTTCTTAATCGTTCTCTCCCATTTTTTATTAACCGTCTTCCCGCATTACACGGGGATTTTGGACGAGAAAGAACACATATCCCCAAACAATTCCCGGCATTGACAAAAACAGTCAAAACAAATCGTCGTATACTATGTTTCGACTATTTTTGGATATTCCTCCTGCAGAGGGACAAACACGACTTAAGACTACAGTCAACCCGTATAGGAAGTCTGCGGGATAAGGATGCAAGGGCCTTGGAGGGCCATTTCGAAGCTTTTCGAGCACAACGCGGCCAACGAAACTGGCCAAGGATGGACCGAGGAGGCAAGGATGCAAGGGTACCCTTGGGAAGGTTGCCCATCCTTACTATGCGGGCTGACTGTAGAGTAGCGGGCGGGGGGGGGGAGGGGGGTTATGTTGCATCCTCGGGGTACCTTCTCTGTCCCGTCGCGGCCCTATCCGCGTCGAATCCGTGTCGAATCCATGTCGGACTCGTCGGATCCGTGTCGAATCCGTGTCGAATCCGCGTCAAACCCACGCCAAATCCGCGTCGAGTCCGCAGCGAGCCCGTGTCGGGTACAAGAAAAGATACAAATTTTGGGGAACAGGGAGGGGGGGGGGGGCTGGCCACGACAATGACGGGCGTGTTCTCCACCACCACCACCATAAGTTGGATGGGTCAAGGAGGAGGAGGACGAGGAGGAGGAAGACGACGAATAGGAGGAGGAGGAGGAGGAGCAGGAGGAGGAGGAGGAGGAGGAGGAGCAGGAGGAGGACCCCCTCCCCCTCCAACTTGTGGTGGTGGTGGTGGTGGTGGGTGACAGGCCCAGCAGACAGGGCGACCGCGCTTCGCGGGGCGGTGCCAGGCGGCGGCGGCCCTGCCGGGGAGGCACGGGGCCGTGGAAGGCGGCGGGCCGTGGGCCCCCGCGGAGCGCGCCCCCCCCCCCCCCGCGTGAAGAGGAGCAGAATCACACCACGACGCGGACGTGATGCAGACGTGGACGAATGTCGTCCGTGGGTAGAGCTGGGTTTAGTGGAACCTGGTTTCGTGATCTGTACCGGGGGCGCCCCCCCCCCCGTCCCATTTCCACTAGCCGGAACTGCCGTCACCCGAATCCAAACACCAGCTGTGGCAAACCTGGTTCATTGGTTCTGGCCAGTTCGAAGGCTCCAGGGCCCTACCACTAACCGGGCTCCCTTACCTGGGGCCCTGGCCATACCCGAGAATGTGATGATGTTGTTTCTTTACCAACGCCCTCGCAATCACGCACCCCAACGTTGTGCGCCGGTCTGTGTATGTTTCTTTCGGGAGCGGCCAAGAGGGGGGTGTCCAAGAGGGGGGGTGCAAATCATGACCGGCGGCATGTGCGCGGCCCAGCGGGGGGGCCAGGAACGTAATGAAATTATCCCGGCAAAGCAACCTGACAGCGATGTGTAGGAGCATATCTGGAAGCATTCCCCTTAAGATTCAGATGAGAATCCAGTTGTAGAATTCTGCTGTTCTCGCAGTCGTAGTCGCATTCGCGATGACAGTCGCAGTGACCTGCATCAGCCTCAGCCTCAGCCTCAGCCTGCCTCAGCATCAGCCTCAGCCTGCCTCAGCCTCAGCCTGCCTCAGCCTCAGCCTCAGCCTGCTTCAGCCTCAGCCTCAGTCTGCCTTCAGCCTCGGCCTCAGCCTCAGCCTGCCTCAGCCTCAGCCTGCATCAGCCTCAGCCTCAGCCTGCCTCAGCCACAGCCTGCCTCAGCCTCAGCCTCAGCCTGCCTCAGCCTCAGCCTCGCCTGCTTCAGCCTCAGCCTCAGTCTCCCTTCAGCCTCGGCCTCAGCCTCGGCCTGCCGCAGCCTCAGCCTGCATGAGCCTGAGCCTGAGCCTCAGCCTCAGCCTGAGCCTCAGCCTCAGCCTCAGCCTGCCTCAGCCTCAGCCTCAGCCTCAGCCTCATGCCTCAGCCTCAGCCTGCTTCAGCCTCAGCCTGAGTCTGCCTTCAGCCTCGGCCTCAGCCTCGCCTGCCTCAGCCTCAGCCTGCATCAGCCTCAGCCTCAGCCTCAGCCTGCCTCAGCATCAGCCTGCCACAGCCTCAGCCTCAGCCTGCCTCAGCCTCAGCCTCAGCCTGCTTCAGCCTCAGCCTGAGTCTGCCTTCAGCCTCGGCCTCGGCCTCAGGCTGCCTCAGCCTCAGCCTGCAGCCTCAGCCTCAGCCTCAGCCTGCCTCAGCATCAGCCTGCCTCAGCCTCAGCCTCAGCCTGCCTCAGCCTCAGCCTCAGCCTGCTTCAGCCTCAGCCTCAGTCTGCCTTCAGCCTCGGCCTCAGCCTCCTGCCTCAGCCTCAGCCTGCATCAGCCTCAGCCTCAGCCTCAGCCTGCCTCAGCATCAGCCTGCCTCAG